CACTTATGCTCCTGTTCTGGTAGTCATGAAGTGCCAATTCAAGAGGAAACCTAGAATGGATAACCTACGTGGAACACTGCTATTTGGACTTCTCATGTCAATTTTTAAACATCTTGTAATATGATCATGGACACTGAGGAGCTGGGGAGCCTGTATTAATAATCACTTATAGATTATAGGAATGTGATCTCTTCAGGAACCATCTTGTCAGATAAATCTGTCAGAAGAACACGAAAGGAAAGAGAAGATTTAAAATTCAAAATGAGAATCCCACAATAATGATCCCCCTCATAGGCTTTGGTATATTAAGCCAACTCTGTTACAACACACAATGGAGAATAAACAAAAGACCATGGAAAAAATTTGGAAGCAATTTACCCTACCTTTATCCCTCTCCAGGAAAACCCCAGAGTGAATTCCTAGAGAGAGACTAACCAAGTAGTTTTAGCTACTTACCTGAAGACAAGCTGAAAGCAGAAAGAAGAGATCTCATTTTTCCTGTTACCTTTTATTTACAAGGCCAAAAGGCAGAGGTTTAAACTAAAGTTAGTAATGGGTACTGTGGTGGCCAGCCTCCAAGATGGCCCCCAATGATCCTCACCTCCTGATATCCTCCCCTTTGTGTAGTCCCCTCCCACCCCGAATAGCAATGACCTGTGTAACCAATAGGATACTATAGAAATGAAAGACTGTAATTTCTCAAGCTAGGTTAAAAAAAAAGACATTGTTGTTTCTGCCTTTCTCTTCTGGATCATTCATTCTGGGAAGAAGACAACAGTTGTGTCATGAGAATACTCAAGCAATCCTATGGAAAAGTTCATGTGGTAAAGGACTGAGGCCTCTTGCCTATAGCCATGCTAGTAAGCCATCTTGGATGCAGATCCTCTAGCCCTAGTCAAGCCTTCAGATGTCTGTAGCCCCAGTCAGTATCTTGACTAAAATGATAGATCCTAAGCCAGAACCTTCTAGCTAAGCTGCTCCCAAATTTCTGACCCATGGAAACTGTGTGGTATAAATGTTTGTTGTTGTTTTAAGCCATAAATTTAGGGGGTAATTCGTTATGTAGCAATAGATAAATAACAAGCAAAAGATAACTAACATGTGTCACAACCAGAATTCAAACCCAGGTTTGATTCCAAAGGTTGAGCTCCCAAAGAGTTGAGAGTTTCCCATGAAAAATTTAGCAGTTTTTCTTAGTTTACCTATTAAAAGAATTCATTCTTTGAAATGAACTTAATTTGCATCCCATATAAAGAGAGGGATATCAGTTCCTTTAATTGTTTGGTCAGTGACATCCTGTCTTTACTACTGCTGGATAAGTTAGGTCTTTGGTACAATCAGAAGTCATTTAATAGCCATGTCTGTTTTCCAGGTATTATTTGAAAGTATTTCTGAAGAAGCCTGATTCATGTTTTAGGAGGTGTTTTTCTATTAAGATTCCTCATTGAATCTTTTATCTTGTGAGATATTAATGTGTACCATTCCAGTTAATTTGTCTCTTATCCTGTCCTTCCTCTGAAACCATTTTAGTATATAATTTTAATTTCTTTAAGGGGAAAAATTAGCACGTTATTTCTGAATTACCCTTCACTAGAATTGCAAATGATTTTAATAACCACTTTGAAGTTCTACCCAAAAGTTGTACCTAAATCTCACGTAAGTCATAGTTCTTTTTTCCTTCCTCGAATGTCATTTCAATCCTGGGGAAATAATCCTTTTTATTTTAGTTTCAAGACTGAAGAAACAAATATTTGTATCCCTTGATCTAGGTGACATGAGTCATCCTGAGAGTAAAGAACATCTCAACTCAGCTATCAGGCCTGACTGTTATTACAGTAAAAATGGGACTTTCTTTGTCCAATTAAAAAAAAAAAAAAACCCAAACTCGCTGCCATCAAGTCGATTCCAACTCACGGTGACCCTATAGGACAGAGTAGAACTGCCCTATAGGATTTCCAAGGAGCACCTGGTAGATCTGAACTGCTGACCTTTTGGTTAGCAGCTGAATGCTTAACCACTGTGCCACCAGGGCCCCTTAGAATGCTTATTTACTTTGAGATAGAGCACCTATACTTCTTTGAGAAATGTTCTAATTTGTCTCACTTAAAGCATCTTCCATTACAAAGATCTGAATTTTCAAAACATAAATTAGGAGGTAATTCTCTGTTTAATGAAATATTTGCCACAGGGTTTATTTCAACAGTAGCACCTCTGGAGCTTTATTTACAAATATTTGTTTATATATATACAATTTAATAAAGGAAAATGTAACTCATAGGCATGTATTGGTGCACATACTTAATCTTGCAAAAATACTATTGCCTATTTTAATATTCTTACAAGGAATTCCAATTTCTTCCATTACTTATTTGATATGTATTTCCCAAATAACCTATTGTTTCATTATGGCCATTCCAGCTATGAAATCACCAGACACCTAATATGTCAACACTTCTAGCTCCTTATAGAGAAGGCTTGGTAATTTACCTTAACCTGAAGTTGTTTTTGGAAAGTATACATCAATGCCATCTCATATATATTTTATTTTTGGAAAGTGTATACTTTTGGAAAGTGCACACCTATGCCATCTCATATATATTTTATCAACTGCCATCAAAAAGAGAATGAATTAAATTAGAGCAGAGATCTTTTTTTTTAAATTGAAGTAAAATACACATAACATGCAGTTTACCATTAGTGGCATTTATTATGTTCACAGTGTTGTGCAACTATCACCACTGTCTAGTTCCAGAACATTTTTATCACCCCAAAAGGAACCCCCCCCAAAAAAAACCATTGCCGCTGAGTCGATTCTGACCCATAGCGACCCTAGAGGACAGAGTATAACTGCCCCATAGGGTTTCCAAGGGGCAGCTGGTGGATTTGAACTGCTGACCTTTTGGTTAGCAGCCATATCACTTAACCACTGCACCACCAGGGCTCCAAAATGAAACCCTGTACCCATTAAATAATCATTCCCTGTTTCCCCTTTCCCCCAGCCCCTGGCAATAACTAATCTGCTTTCTGTCTCTATGGATTTGCCTATTCTGGATATTTCATATAAATGGAATCCTACAGTATGTAGCCTTTTTGTGTCTGGTCTATTAGCATAATGTTTTCAAGGTTCATCCAGGTTGTAGTGTGTATCGGTGCCTCATTTCTTTTTATGGCTGATATTCCATTGTATGGTATATGACAGTGTGTTTATCTATTCATCTGTTGATGGACATTGGGGTCATTTCCCCCTTTTGGATACTGTAAATAGTGCTGCTATGAACAAAAACATTATGTACAAGTTTTTGTTTGAACACCTGTTTTCAATTATTTTGCATATATACTCAGGAGTGGAATTTCTGGGTCATATGGAAGGGAGATGAGACATTTTTAAATGAAATCTTACTGATCCAATAAATAGTCCTTCTGGAGAGGTTCGTATAGTTATTTCTCTTTTGTTATGTTAACAACCTTGCTGGATTCCTATACCACCCTATGAAATGTGGTGTGGAACAAAAGGACAAATATTGTATAAGATCACTATTATACAAACTCATGAAAAGGTTTACACACAAAAAGTAACAATCTGTGATGGTTACTAGGGAGGGGAGGGATGAGGAGGGAAAAACACTAAATAGACAATAGATAAGTGGTAACTTTGGTGAAGGGTAAGACAGTACCCAGTACTGGGGAAGCCAGCACAACTTGACCAAGGCAAGGTCATGGAAGCTCTTAACTCCCTGAGGGACCGAATTACTGGGCTGAGGGCTGGAGACCATGGTCTCGGGGAACATCTAGCTCAATTGGCATAACATAGTTTATAAAGAAAATATTCTACATCCTACTTTGGTAAGTAGTGTCTGGGATCTTAAAAGCTTGTGAGCGGCCATCTAAGATACTCCATTGGTCTCACCCCATCTGGATCAAGGGAGAATGAAGAAAACCAAAGACACAAGGGAAAGATTAGTCCGAAGGACTAATGGACCACAACTACCACAGCCTCCACCAGACTGAGTCCAGCACAACTAGATAGTGCCTGGCTACCACCACCGACTGCTCTGACAGGGATTACAATAGAGGGTCTCAAACAGAGCTGGAGAAAAATGTAGAACAAAATTCTAACTCACAAAAAAAGACCAGACTTACTGACCTGACAGAGACTGGAGAAACCCCAAGAGTATGGCCCCTGGATACCCTTTTAACTCAGTACTGAAGTCACTCCTAAGGTTCACCCCTCAGCCAAAGATTAGACAGGCCCATAAAACAAAATGAGACTAAATGGGTACACCAGACCAGGAGCAAGCATGAGAAGGCAGGAGGGGACAGGAAAGCTGGTAATGGGGAACCCAAGGTTGAGAAGAGGAGAGTGTTGACATGTAGTTGGATTGGTAACCAATGTCACAAAACCATACGTGTATTAACTGCTTAATGAGAAACTAATTTGCTCTGTAAACCTTCATCTAAAGCACAATAAAAAAAATTTTTAAAAGTAGATTAGTGGTTGTCTAATTTACTGGAGCCCTGGTGGCACTAAGTTAAGCACTCAGAAAAAAAAATGTGGTGTGGGAGTTTATACCAGGAGACTACAAGATGGCATCACCTACCCAAACCCAACATGAAAATTAACCATTTTTTATACAATTGCCCACTGATATAAACATGGTTGAAGGTACCCAACTCTAGCAGGTGCACTGGCATGCACCTTCAGAGAATAAAGATTACAAGCAAGTAACCAAAGTGTTTCTATACAGCTTTGGAGTCAGACCAAAGTTAAATCACAGATAGTTGTCCCGGAGCCACTTACTAAACTTCTCTGTACCTCAGTTTCTCCATATGTAAAAATGGGCTAACAATACCTACGTCTCAGGATTGTTAAGAGAAAAAGGCATAGCCTGGCACATAGTTGATGCTTAAGAAATATTAGTTCTCCTTTCCTCATATGTTCTTAGTCTTCAAATTAACTCTGTTCTCCAAGACATTATTTTTCTTCTCATTTTCTCTTTCAGGTTAAAATTAAACTACCAAATACAAACCCTTCTGACATTAAAATGGATATTCAGGAAATGATTCTTGACCTCCGTACTCCTAATAAGTGAGTAGCACTTAGGATTGGAATCGTGTATTATAATATTGAGTCTTTAGTCAATATTCCTTTAAAAATATATACATAGTTATTTTGCATTACTCCCTAATGTCTGCCTGTTTATGTTGCAAAACAGAAGAAAAGTGAAAAAGCCTGTTAACCATTCAGATGTCTAATCTACCTAATATAAACATCAATATATTTTCAAATGCCTAGATTATTCTTGTACTTTGCAACCAGATGTTTGGAGTGGGTCTAGCCCATCAAAACACAATCCCTGACATTCATATGCAGTTTGTTTATCTGTCAGGAATAATGGCTGGAAGTGAAAATCAGTATTACATGTAGTTTTTTATACAGTGATGTTGTAAGAGAAGCAATATCTTTAGATTTTATGAATACTTGAAGCAGTATGTTTAAATTTGTTGCATATTGTGGGGCTCTAAGGTTAAATTTGATTATGTTCATCTCAAAGATCAACAAAAGGTCCTGTTTCAATTGCTTAAAATGAAAATTCTAACAGCTAATTTATCACTAGACCCTCAGGTTGTGAAATAATACAGATGATCGTGGAGTAATTCAGTTAAATATTTTGATATTTACAAATATAGTTTTGTTATTACACAGGTTCAAATTATATTCCTTAAGCATTTTATATATATATATATATATATATATATATATATATAGTAAAATTCTGATAAAAATTGTTTATCCTGAAACATGGGTAAATCAGTCCTGTCTTTCAAAACTAACGGTATAAAGAGGGAATTGATGGAACATGGTGTGTGTTAGATAAAATATGTAAATATCTGATTGCTTTGTTCACTTTTCATTTGGATGTATAGCAGTAAGCACACATTGGTTAACTGCAGTGGACCTTTCTCTGTAACTCATGAACATTTCATACTGGGTAGAGGAGCAGGCAGCTGCCAGCACATTCTCTTCCTTCCATTGTCAGTAACTATAATTTTCCTTTGTTGATCTTAGGGCTTCAAGAAAATAAAAAGTAAATCTCTCCTACAAAAGATCCCTATGTGCAATGTACATAGCTTAATCTTGAATTCTACAGTAGATGCATTTAACCCAAAATGATCTACAGATGAATATTTGTATATCAAATATTTTCTCACTACTTCCATAATTTCAAAAATGTATTATCACAAAAAATTGTTATAAAAATTACATTCACTATTCCTACCATTCACTTGAAGGAATATTTTACCTTTTTAATTGCATATTATATACACATTTAATTCTTCCACAGAGCCTTTGCAAGGAAAGTTAGTTAAATGAACAGTCAATCTTTTATGATATTTGCACACTTGTTAAAAGCATACACATATCTACACACCATGGAGTTAATTTCCGTTTCCCTAGCAGTTCTCCCTGTCTCCATCAATCTTCAGGCAGCTGCTCTGGCTGTGCTGTCATTCCAGATATCTATCAGAGCCCACTAAATGAAAGACTCACAGAGAGATACTTTTCCACATAGGACGCTGGCTGTACTAAGACATTTCGTTCATACTCTACTTGTGTATTAAATACTCAGTGCAGACAGATATTGTCTCTTAAGAAAATTTCATTAATTAAGATAGAAGACAGAAAATAGAAGATAGAATTAAGGTTTTTATCACTTTTCTTAAATACTTGAGCATCTTTCGGAGCCATGCTATTACCTGAAAGTGTATTATCAGAAATGTCTTTTTTTCATTAGTTTATTGATATGCATACCTACTTTCTTTAGTTTCAGAGGAGCCCTGATGGCACAGTGGTTAAGTGCTCGGCTGCTAAACAAAAAGTTGACAGTTCAAACCCACCAGCTGCTCTTCTTGCTTGGTGGTAATGAGTTCCCTATATCTCTCTGCTCACTCCTCTCTTTTATATCTCAAAAGAGATTGACTCAAGATACAACCTACTCTTGTAGACTGAGTCCTGCCTCATTAACAAAACTGCCTCTAATCTTGCCTCATTAACATCATAGAGGCAAATCACATCAGATGACAAAATGGTGGACAATCACACAATACTGGGAATCATGGCATAGCCAAATTGATACACATTTTGTGGGGACACAATTCAATCCATAACATTCCACCTGTTGGCCCTCCCAAATTCATGTCCTTGCCACATGTAAAACATATTTACCCCATCATATTATAGCAAAAGTCTTAATTCAACTCCAAGTCCAAAATCCAAAAATTCCTCTTTATCTGTGAAATCTAGAATACAGGTTATCTGCTTTCAAAGTACAATGGTGGAACAGCCACAAGCTAGACATTTCCATTACAAAGGGGAGAGACTGGAGGGAAAGAAGGGATAATAGGCACCAAGCGATTCAGCAGAACACATTACATTGGCTCTCAAGGCTTGAGAATAATCTTCTGTTCTCTGAGACCATTTAGGCAATGGCCTTGCCCTCCAGACTCTGGGTGTTGGCCATGCTCTCTGATTCTGGGTGGAGGTTTCTCAGCCCTGGGCTTCAGCTCCGCCCTCCAGGCTCACTGGAACGGTTACTCTTCTCCCTTGCATTTGGGTGGCCCCATTCTGCTAGTCCATCTGAGTGATGACCCTACCCCGTTGGGCAGGCCCCGTTCTTCTGCACCTTGGGCATGGTAGCCCCACCCCCTCAGCTTTGGGCAGTGGATCTGGGCCCTATCCCACTGACACTCATGAACGACAGCCCCATACTCCAGAACCGACTTGGTGAAGATCTGACTCTTTGAAACCTAGGAGGCTGTGGCCCCACTCTTTGAAACCCCAGAGGCCACGGCTCCACCCTTTGAGACCCCAGGTTGTGGCCCTACCCTTTGAGACTGAGGCAGCTCTGCTTCTTGTGTTCCTTGTCTCTTCAGCTTCTGCTTCCTGGTTCTTTGACCTCTCCAGCCCTCGGGCCTCTCTGCCCACATCTGCCCTGCTGGGGCAAATGTTCCAAAGCACTTTAGCCCCACTGATAAGTGCCTGGAGGTACCCCACTCCACCAGTAAACTTTGCCTGGAAGGCACTCAGCTGTCTTACTCCATGGGTCGGCAAGCCTAGCTCCACCAATAAGTTCTCAGAGACACCCCACTCCACCAGGAAGCCTCCTGCCAAAGAACTCAGCAGTGGATTGGCCCCAGCACTGTCTCGCACTGGTTTCCTGGTTCTGCTGCCACCATTTTTCTGCTGATGCTTCTCGCCATCTGTGCCGTCTCCAGCGTAACAGCTCTCCCCACTTCCTTCTGGATCCTCACTAGAATTGTCTTTGATGTCCATAATTCCACCAACAGTCTCTTCAAGGTGATCTAGGCTTTTACTATCAGGCACTTTAAAACTCTTCCAGCTTCTATCCATTCACAGTTTCAAAACCACTTCCACATTTTAGGTATCTGTTAGAGCAGCACCCTACTCCTGGTACCAAATTCTGTCTTAGTCATCTAATGCTGCTATAACAGAAATGCCACAAGTGGATGGCTTTAACAAAGAGAAATTTATTCTTTCACAGTATAGGAGGCTAGAAGTCTGAATTCAGGGTGCCAGCTCCAGAGGAAGGCTTTCTTTCTCTGTTGGCTCTAGGGGAAGGTCCTTGTCATCAATCTTCCCCTGGTCTAGAAGTTTTTCTAACCAAAAGATTGGCAGTTTGAACCCACCAGCCGCTCCACGGGAGAAAAGAGCTGGCGATCTGCTTCCATAAAGATTACAGCCGGAACCCTATGGGACAGCTCTACTCTGTCATATAAGGTTGTTGTGAGTCAGAATTGACTTGACGGCACACAACAACAGCAACATATCTCACAGTACTAGTCTATAGTAATTATTCAAATGTCATTTTGTATGACTTGAATATTTACTTTCCATTTATTTATTCACTCAACAAAGTCTTCTGCTAGACACTGGGGGAACACCAAGATAAGATACAACGCTATCCTTCTATGAATTGGGTCGCTATGAGTCGGAATCGACTCAACAGCAACAGGTTTGGTTTGGTTTTTTGGTTAAGTATTTGTAGAATTTTATTTTGTTTAAATACAAATCTCAGTTCAGAAATCAAACAGTAAAACAAACTAGACAAAAATACTTCCCGTCTCCTAAGAGCCTAATAGGTTACACTGTTTCTATTGTTCAAAATTTTAGTATGTGAAGCCATACTACTGAGGACTAGACAGAAATGCAGGGATAGATGGATAATTCCAATGGCCACTGTCTCTTGTGAATGTATTTCTCTCTGGACAGAAAAGTGCACATTACCATTGGAACTCCTTCTTCAGTTGATTTATAGTTGTCTTTTAGTGCAATAAAGCTACCACCACTAAACTTTGCTTTCTTCTTAAAGTGAATATATTATCATTTATAGAGTAAGGAATAAAACATATCTAACTCCTAGCACAAACCTATACTGTAAGCAGCTTATAAAAAGACAGACTCTGAACATTTTTTGTGCCCATTTCTTTTTGAGACACCAAATGTCATAGGCTACATTAAGGATACTTGCTATTTCATTACTTTAGGTGAAGGGAGCCGTTTCTCCTACCCCAAATATCTGGAATGGAACAAGGGTCACAGCTAAATTCTCCTTTAGGTTCTAGAGATTTGTAATAAATACTTTTAATGAGCCCAGTCTCTTGGATTTAGGTCTTTGAAAATGAATAAAGAAGGAATTGATTTTTAAGGATTTTGTTCTCAAATACGAGTTCTCTGTTCATGTACTCAATAAGTACTCCTTAAAAACACTGTATTCCTGTAATAATTTGGATCTCATACCTTCTAAAAGAGCTTTTGAATCCACTTTTTATAGAGATCTTCGGGCCTTCTCTACCAAGAATGTGAGGGTAACAAATGTTCCATCCATTTAATTTTCTTCAGATACCAGCATGTATGGACCCCATGCATAATTCAGATTCATGCCACTATGTCAGAATTATGGACATCTCAACCCCCGCAGTGCATCTAAAGCATACAAATATCCAGCAACTGAGTCATAAACCACAAAATAAACCCAGAAATCTACCATAGAGAATTTTTGTCAATGTATAGTAGAAAGAACAAGAAGCAAGCAGAGAGGAGCACTTTCATTGATTTGCTATTGAAATCATTCCAGGCCTGAGTTTCAATAACTACACGGGTGGTAGAGGCTCAGCTTAAAGTTGTGTTAGCAGAAGTATTATAGAACCATTCCAGTTTTCGGGTATCAGTCAGCCATATTCCACCGACATATAAGTATGACTGGCAAAAGACCTGTCCAACCAACTTATGGTTGTAATGGTTCTATTTGTATACCTGTAAACATAGCTTAAGACTATGTTTACACAATACAAAATGAGGTCAATTTAGAGAAAAAGGAGCGGGGAGTCAATTCAAATGCTTGCATTTTGAAGGCCAAGAAGCTAGTATACTATTTGTGTTATTTAGGCATATTTTTGATACTGTGCTTATATTCTAAATACTGTTTTGTTTGTTTCTAGCATTATTCTGATGGTATGTGTTGCTTTCTATTGTCTTATCAAAAGTAATATCTTCTTGTTTTGACTTTAGGAAGCTGATTCTAGGTTCTTGTTTTGTTTTTTTTTTTTAGAAAGCTGTTGCTAGCCCTTCCCCATCCTGTTGAACGCAACAGTGCCAAAGCTGTCTATATCCTAGAGTCTGAGACTCTCGAAGTTACCATGCGTATGAAAAGAGAGTTGGATTTCGTTAATTTCTTCTGAAACTACATGAATAAAGAGGAAAAATGATCAAATGGCACTGGTAAAAATTTAAAAAATAAAAACACTGGTTAATGTTTTCTGTATTCTCTTTATTATTCTGACATATTTTAGACAGGGCCTAAATTAAATTCTAGTGATATTCTGATCATTTATATGGTCCTTTCTTTTATTCTGTTAATAAATATTGTTTCCGCATACTAATGAGCTGTTACATTTTATAGTGATAACTGGATAGAATATTTACAGGTTAACCGATTATTACATGGTCAATTAAATAACTGAAATATGACCATGAAATGGTTGGTCCACTAATTTCACTAGCCTGAAGAACTGAAGCCAATCAATTACACTATGATGCAATCAGTTGCATAGCAATTGGACATTATTATCATCAGAAAAGTTAATTTGATTGTCTTTTCACTGATTTGATCAAATGATATAGTGTTCTCTGTTTGGGCTCTTACTATTGTTCTGGAATATGCAGGTAACAAAGGATTATAAATAGTTTGATGCATCATCCTAACCACTTGAATACAAAATACTCTTGAACACACAGTATTATTTGGCTTCCTCAGTTCTGCTTTCAATGCTTGGATCTAGTTAGGTTAAAAATAATTTTCCTTATGTGCGCTAATAATTAACAATGCCTTTTGGGGGTACTGTGTTTATACTTCATCAATTGCAATCCTTGACATTTAAAAGGAATATAAAGAAAAGTGTGGCACATTTACAGATCCTGTTTTCTGTCATTCCTATCTTCTTCTTAATTAGACATACCTATTTTTGTGAATTGTGCCAATGCCCCCTGCCTCTTTTGTACTGTATTGCGTAAGTTTTATTTCATAATTATTTATGAATAAACTGTATTATAAAGCTTGTGGACTTGGTCTCACACATCATTGCAGAACTGTGGAGTTTTCTCGGTGTAAATTTTGAAAAGAGAAAAACAACTAAAAGATGTTCATCACTTCTATGTAAAATATTAAGGGAATACTCAAATATTTTGTAGAGTTAATTATGTAGATAACTACTGGGCATCTAGTTTGTGACTAGATCAAATAGAAGGAAACAACTGAGATTTTGGGGAAAAAAATACCTATGTTAAAACACTAAGCTATTATAGAGAATTTAAAATGTGAATTATCACCATGAGTTTCTTTAGTGGGGGGAAATGTTGAGGATGGGATTAACTGAAAGGAAGCTAATGAATTTAAGTCCATGATGTGATAGGATCAAAAGAGAGCCCTACTTTGCTTTCTTTATGGCCTTAGCATCTTTTTTTTAAGGCTATATTTTAAGAATTTAAGATTACACCCAAGAGTATAAACTCTGGGGCAAGCCTAAGCAGCAACCAATATTTTTCTTCTCTAGAGAGTAGCAGTGAGTCAGTGGAAAATGTATCTCTTTTTCCTATGTACTGGCCCCAATTACAAACACCATTATTACTCAAGCTGACTGAATGTGTACAAGTTGTCCCTGGAAAAGAAGATAGAGCATATCCAGGCCAACTTGAATTGGGCTTTTGGTTATGTGATGCTGTATCAATTATATAATGAAACAGAACTTCAAGAACAATGAAATGTGATACAGTAATTTATACCCATCTAAAAATCATCCTGCTTCACTGTCCTTGGCCTCAGAAGTAGCAACTATAGTGGTTTTATTGTTTTGTTTTTAAGCTAATTCACAGGATTTTCTTTCTTTAAAGAGAATAGTCCACTAACATGAATACAGAAATGAGAATCCAAAGGGAAATTTATCTTATCGGCATTTTCCAGTGAATCTTAGCCATTGTAAGGGGGACTGGAAGTTAAAACCATAACTGGTATATCATTAACCTACATTTGCTTCTCCCTCATAAGCTTCTTTATCTCATTCTTTTGCTCCATTATCTCCAGTAGCTTTTGGGGAGATTAAATAATTCATTCATTTATTCACTCACTCATTTATACATTCTTTCAACAAATATCCACAGGCCTGGCACTGTTTTAGGTGCTGGGAATATAGCAATGAGCAAAGCACATAGGTTCCTGCCCTCATGGAGCAGACAGTTTAGCAAGTGAGACAAACAATAACTAAGTAAAAACATAAATATATATTTTCAAGTTATTGTTAGTGCTATAAAGTAAAAGAATGGTTGCTTTGAGACTATCGGAGAAACCAAGCCTAGTCTGGGGGGCAGAAAAGGCTTCCCTAAGTTGTTAACATTTCACCTGAAACATGATGGATGCCCAAGACTTAACCAGGCAAAGAGGGTATTGGTGGAGAAGAGAACAGTAAGACTTCCAGGTGCAAGGAGGCAGCAAAGGTGAAGACTCAGGATGGGAAGAGCTTGGAGAGGTCAAGGAAAATGAAAGCCAGTGTGGCTGGAGTAGAATGACCCTGGGGTAATGTACCTGAAGGTAGGCTGGAAATGTAGGTTAGGGCAATGTCATAATAGATCCTTGGAAGCTAAGGTAAGGAATTTGGATTTTATTCTAAGTGCTTTGTAGAAGAGAATGTATTGGGAGGCAACAATGGAAGTGGGAAGACCAATTAGGAGGCTACTGCCATAGCCCAGTCAAGTTATTATTCTACCAGAAAAACCAAACCTCTTGCTGTCTAGTCAATTCTGACTCATGGTGACCCCATGTGATAGAGAGTAAACTGCACTCCATAGGGTTTTCATGGCTTTGACCTTTTGGAAGCAGATCACCAGTCCTTTCTTTTGAGGTACATCTGGGTGGTTTTGAACTGCCAACCTTTCAATTAGTAGCCAAGGAATTGTTTGTGCCACCCAGGGACCTTTATTATTCTACATGTCATCCTAAATAAAATTAATTTTTGGTTTTTTCTAATTAGAAAAAAAAATACATTCTTTAAGCAGGAAACTTTCAACAATTTAGAAAAGCTCTTCTAAAATAAAGCAAAACTAAAAATCACCTATATGCCAACTAACCATAAATAACCACCCTTATCATTTTAGTGCCTCCCTCCAGCCTTTTTTTCCCCAAAGTGTAACATAGATACTATTCTTTTTCCTAAATGGGATGATATTGCACAAACTAGTTTTATAACCTATCGTCTTTTAATTCCAAAATGTATTATTTTTATATATATCATATTGTTTCTGAATTCTAATTTTATTGCATTGTGGTAGGAGAGTGTGACAAATGACCCATATGTATTTGAAAAGAATGAGTATTCCATAATTGTTGGGTACAGAATTCTATATATATCAATTAATTCAAGATTTTTAAACATGTTGTTCAAACTTTCTCCATCCTTAATTTCTGGTCTGCTTTATCTATCAACACTAAGAGAGATGTATTAATATTTACCACTGATTATAGATTTGTCAGTGTCTCCTTGTAATCCTGTCAATTTTTGCTCTATATACTTTGAGGCTAAATTTTTAGGTGCACACAGATTTAGAATGTTATAGCTTTCCTTTTATCAGTATGTTGTGATTCTCTTTATCTCTAATAATATTTTTTGCTTTAAAGTATGTTTCGCTTAACACCCTAGCTACATCAGCTTTGGTTAGTATTGGCCTGGCATATCTTTTTCCATCACTTTCCATAACCTCGTATTACGGGTATGACTTTTATAAACAGTATGTAGTTAAATTTTGGATTTTTAATTCCAATCAAGATTCTGTCTTTAAATTCATAAGTTTTAGTCCAGTTACATTTATTGTGATTGATGATAGATTCAGATTTATTTATATAATTTATTATGAGATGTGTCTTTTATTCTTCTTTTCTATACTTTTTTTTCTCCTTTCTTTCCCCATTGATGTTTTCATTTTTTTAATTCTTCCCCTGCCCCCCACTGGTTTGGGAGTTAGACATTCTGTTTCTTTTCTTTTTTTTTAACTTAAAATGTGTTAAGGTACTCTATAGTTCTACCCTTCCTTAAAACAATTAAGGACTTAGAAAGTTTTAACCCAACAATGCCCCTCCCACTTTGTTTTTATATGCCCAAATTAGTCATCATCATTATTATTGTTTTATACAGTCAATGCTTGCTTAGGTTTACCCACATTTTAACCAATATCTTTGCCGACCATTCCTTTTTTCACATCAGTACTTCCTTTCTGAAGTAAATAGTAGTTCTTTCAGCAACAGTTTGTGAGTTCTTGATTCTCCCAGTTCATTTCTAGAAATATTTTTATTGCACTGACTCTTAAATAATAATTTAGCTGGGTTTCAAAATCTGGGCTACCAGTTATTTTCCCTCAGAACTTTGAATATATTATTTCTCTGTGTTCTGGCCTGTATTGTTGTAATTTGAAAGTCTATTGTCTATCTCGTTGTTCCTTTGTAGATAATCTGTCTTTTCTTTCCAGTAGTTTTTAAGATTTTTCTCTTTGTCTTTGGAGTTGTACAGTTTGACTATATGTCTGGATATAGATTTATTTGTATTTATAAAATAAATATTTGTGCTTCTTAAGTCTTTCAGCAACCCCAGAAAATTCTCAGCCATTATTTCCCTGAATATTACCTTTCCCCCGTTTTCTCTATTTTTCCTTATGGAACTCCTCTTAGATATAGGTTGGACCTTTCATTCTATCCTCTATGACTTTTAGCCTCTCTGTCATATTTTCCATCTCACTCTGTTCTTTATACTGGGTAATTTTCTCAAATCTATCCCCTAGTTCAATAGTTCTTAGGATTCTAATCTTGCTGGTGACTGTATCCACTGACTCTCATGGTAGATAATTTATTCTTAGTTTATTTATTGTGCAAGCTACTTTAATGAGGCTTTTTAAAGGTTATGTGAAAATCCCTTGTGGTCTGCGTTGTGGGAGTATCCCTTCAAAGCAGTTTTAGCTTTGCTTGTGTCAGGAGCATCAGGGTGAAGGCTCCCAGGTAATGCAGTTTGTATAAATTAAAACCTAAAATCCACATGAGTTCCAAGCCTATGCTTTAATCTGCAAAGGAATGTTTTTCTTCCATCTAGGGCTTAAAGACAGACAAAGACACCTAGGCCAAAGGTGCGGATTTTTTTTTTTTTCA